ATGGATGCATATTGAGGCCATCCTCTTAAGTGAAATAAATAAGACACACATGTGTAAATACTGGATAGTTTCTCTAGTGTGAGAAACTGAGAGTGTAATTAAGGATACACACGGATGAAATGGCCTAATAACATATTTCTCGGATTGTGTTTCCATCGTGTGTCATATGACTGTATAGAAATTTAAATTAGGGAGAAGTCTGGCTTATGTGGAGTCTGCTAACTAACTGGAGTTTTTTTCCAGATCATTATTTGTTCAGTGTTGGTTTTTGGGATCTTTCTGAAACAAATCACATCCTCTGGTGTCTTGTTGGTGCTTGAGATGTTTTTTAAGTTATATGGAAAAATGTTTAAGTGCTTTTCAGTTTTGTATTGGTTGAGTTCTACTGTATTTGAATATTGTTGTAGTTTTTCTCCCCTTGCATTGTTCTCCTTTGAATGGTTTTAATGTTTTTTATGTGTGTGTATTTGATAATAAAGTTATTTTTAAAATTTTTTTAAAAAGGGCTGGGACAGCTCAGTGGCACAGTGTTTGCCTAGCGTATGTGAGGCCCTGGATTCAATCCCCAGTACCATGAAAAGAAAGAAAGAAAGAAAGAGAGAGAGAGAGAGAAAGAAAGAGAAAGAAAGAGAGAAAGAAAGAAAGGAGGAAGGAAGGAAGGAAGGAAGGGAAAAGGAAAGAAAAGAAAAGAAGGGAAGGGCCGGGGATTTAGCTCAGTGGTTTTGCTGCGCAAGCACAAGGACTCAAGTTCGATCCCTGGTACCAAAAAAAAAAAAAAAAGAAAGAAAAAAGGAAAGGAAAGGGCAACAAGCCCATAAAAAGATGATTAACTATTAGTCATTAGGGAAGTGCATATGAAAACCAGGAGAAGATACCACTTCACATTCGTTAGGGTAGCTATATATTAAAATGGCAAGTGTTGGGGAGAAAGTGAAAAAATTCAAACTCTTGTGCATTGCTGCACCATGGTGCAATCACTGTGGAAAAGAGGATGGCCGTCCTCAAAAACTTACACATAGACCTATTACATGGTCCAGCAATTCCATGGCTAGCTATATACCTAACCAACTGATAGCGGATACTCAAACAGATTCCAGTGTGCCAGCGTTCTTAGCAACATTATTCAAAATAGCCACAAGATGGAAATAACTCACTCAACAGATAAGTGAGTCTTCACAATGTAGTATATACATATGTACCATGGGATGTTATTCAGTCATAGAAAGGAATGGCATTCTGACACACGGATGTTACAACATGGATGAACCTTGAAAGCATATGCTAAGTGTAATGAGCCAGGCACAAAGGACAAACGTATGATCTCATTTATATAGTGTACTAAAAATAGTCAAACTCATAGAGACAGCAAGTAAAATAGACATTACCAGGCACTGAGCACAGAGAAAGGACAGTGACTGTTTGAGGAGGACAAGTTTCTGTTTGGGATGATGAAAAAGTTGTAGAAATGAAAAGTGGTGATAGTTGTCCAACATTGTAAATGTACTTAGTGTCACCCAAAATGGTTAAAATGTTATATTCTGCATATCTAACCATAATAAAGGTGAACACATAAACTATGGTTCATCTATACAGTGAATTCAGCAGTAAAAAGAAATGAGTTATTAAGCCATGAAAAGACTCGGAGGAGTCTTAAATGCATCTAAGTGGAAGAATTCAGTCATACAAACCATATGATTCTAATTATCTGACATTACAGAGAAGGCAGTGCCATGAAGACAGTAAAATCAGTGGTTTCCGGAGTTAGGAGAAGGAAGGGATGAGGAAGTGGGATTCAGGGAATTTTTAGAACAGTGAAGCCTTTCTACATGATACAGTAGTGGTGAATAAAGGACATTATGCATTTGTTGACACTCACAGAATGTACAATTTAGGGAGTGAACCGTGATGTAAAGTCTGAATTTCAGTTAATCATTATGCACTAATACAAGGTGTTAAAAAATAGGGAAAATGGAAGGGAGCAGTACACAGGACCCTCTGGACTATTTGCTCCATTTTCTATAAACTAAAATGGCTCCAAAAATAAAGTCTTGGAGCAGGGGCACAGTTACATGTGTCTGTACTCTCCGCTTCTTTGGAGGCTAAGGCAAGAGGTTTGCTTGAGCTCAGGAGTTCAAGGCCAGCCTAGAAACACAATGAGACTATTTAATAAAGCTAGGAGTGGTGGTATACACCTATAATCCTAGCACTTGGGATGCTGAGGCAGGAGGATTTCAATTCAAGGTCAGCCTGGTATACAGAGTAAGACCCCATCTCAAAATATGAACCAATAAAAACAGTAAAATAATAAATACATAAATAATAAATGTCTATTAATTAAGGAGACTATCTATTTGGAAAATTCGATTGTTTATTTTTTATAAAAACAGGGGTCTGAGCCAGGGATTTGGCTCAGTGGTGCCACTGCCTGCTTCACAAGTGCAAGGTCCTGAGTTCAATCCCTGGTACCAAAAAAAAAAAAACCCCAAAAATCAGGGGTCACAGAAAGCAGATTAACCCTTGACTTGGGCAAATTACTTGGGAAGAGTCACAAAGGATCTTTCTGAGTGACAGAATGTTCTGTCTTGATTTTGCCTGGGCTGATAGTTTCACAGGTATTCGCATTTGTCAGAATTTATCAAACTGTTCACTAAAAATGAGTACATTTGCTTGTCAGTAGATCACATTTATATAAGGTAGATCTTTTACAAAATAGGGTTATCATGTTGCAAAAGGTGGCCTCTTCTCTGATTTCATCCTTGGGGTACTGACTCAGCAGGATTTTTTCCTTCTCAGGCCTCCCATGTCCACATGGCCAGGTATGGTGGGCAGTCTGGCTCCAGCATCTGCAACATCTCTCACTAGAGCCAAGATGAATCCCAGTGGAATCCAGGGAGCAATCCCATGTGCCAGGTGTTCAGCAGGCCTACCTATAACCAATATCCTTCCACCAGCTCTGCAATGTGCGTACAACTACCACCCTCATTTTCAGATACTAAAACTGGGGCACAGCAAGAAGATAAAGTACCTGTTCAAGACTGCAGCCAGCCAGGAAGTGGCAGATCTGAGGTCAGAACCTAGGCACAGCTATGTTGGGGTCACCTCTTGACATTCAGGCTGGCTGCCTCTCTTGTTAGCATAGAAGTCAACGGTGTAATCCAGTGCATGGGTCTGCTCCCTGCCAGACAGGAGCAAACCAGAGGCTGCCTATCTAGCACTGTCTCCCTAGTGTGCACCATGTATGCGAACAGGGCTGAGCACACAGTAGGCACGCATGAATGAGATCTGGATTGAATGGGTGCTGGTCCAAGGCCCAAGGGCGAGGTCTGTTGGTGAACAGTGGCCAGTGCCCTGAAGTGGCTTCCTTCCCCTTGGTGAGCTGCTAGCCCAGCTGGGCCTCCGCTGCCTGCAAGCCATGAGTCACAGGAGGCCTGAGTCACCTGGCACGGGCTGCATAACCCAGAGGCTGAGGCCGGCTCTGTGGCTCCAGGGCTGTGCCTTCCTGCAGTTCTAATGAGCTGTGCATGCCAACCACACACAGGCAGCCACTGGGAAGCACACAAAGAACCAAGCAAGGCCCCCGCCTTGTGCCAGGCCCTGGTAAACAAGGCCAGAACTGTTTTCATGGGATAAAGGATGGACTGCTCTGCACAAAACCCATGAGTCTTTGCCAAGCCCACACCCTCCCCTTCTCCCAGCTGGAATCAGGACCATGGACCCCACCCTTGACACCCTCACCTGAACCTCCTGAACCCAGACCAAAGCCTTCAGCCTGGCATTTGGGGCCCTGAGGCATCTGGCCCCACCTGTCCTCACTCAGTCTCCAGGCCCGAGTCTTCCTCCGTGGCAGCCCCAACCCTGCCACACTGTCTGGCACCCAGGCCCCAGTCTGAGAACACCCGATTAATGTGTGCCCAGCTGGTTGTTCTCCTCTCCAAAAGCTTCGCTGAGTCCCCAAGGCCATCTACTCCACAGCATATGAGGCAGGTCATTTCTTGGGTACATGCTCTGTGCAAACACTGTCCTCAGTGTTCGTTGACATCAGCTCACACACAAATTCATTGACGGAGAGAACTGGTGGAGGCAGGTCCCCAGTCCACGCAGAGGTGCAGTGAGCCCAGGACCAGTCTTTGGTTCTGCAAGGCTGCCCACTGCCCCACCCCCACACCACCCCACAGGCTTGGATCTCCATCTCCCATCCCAAAAAGAAAGTCTGTGGGAAGTGTCTAGAGGTCTGGTTAGTAGGTGACAAGGAGAAAGGGTGCATATTTTCACAGTCAGAGCCTAGAAAACCCCTGCCTGGCTGTGGCCTCCCAGCTGGAGGGTCTCCTTATGCAGTAAGTCTGGGACTGCCTGCTCCCCTAGGGTTGGCTGCCTCAGACATGGCAAACACCCGGCCCTGGATGGCCCCTTGGAAGCCAACACAGCTCTGAACACATCCTGGTGATCTCTCTAAAGAAGCTGGGGAATCAGGGTCTGGGCAGGGGTCTCATGCTGCCTCTGCTACTGGACAGCAGAATGGCCTGGGGCACAGGTCCCATCTGAGACTCTCTCCTCATCCATCCACAGACATGATATCCCACATGTCCCCATTCAGGACCAGAAGTGCCCAACACAGGGCCTGGTACACAGTAGGTGCTCAGAAATGGCAGCTATAAGTGTTTGAAGAGAGAATAAAGGGGAACAGTGGTGGCTGGGGTCTCTTCTGGCCTGGTAGCACCAGGTTCCCTTCTATGAGAGCCTATTTCTGTGTGGGACCCAGGTCTAGACTTCAGTGAGTGCAGTGGAGAGAGGACTGGAGACTCATGGGACCACCCTGATTCCCTGGGTCATACCAGGTGACTTCTGCCACCCGAGGCAGAGAGTGAGATCCTCTGGAAGGTCCCCAGTCCATGGTTCAATACCCTTAAGGGCTTCTCATCAAAGGGCTAAGCCCATGGAGCAGGGTCGCCCTGCTTAGTTGGCATCAAGAAGATGGGCAGATCCCCAGACCAGAGAGGCTGGCGGGGGAGGGGTGTGTGTGTGTTGATGATGGAGCCCAACAGCCTTGGGATGTGGCGAGTCCAGTCGCTGTTCGATTGCTCTAGACCCGTTCAGGACACGGGGTGCGCGCGGCTGGGGTCCCGCGGGGCCCAAGAGAAGGGAGGGAAGTGAGGCGCTGGCGTCCCGGGGGTACCACAGCCGCCCCAGGACGCAGCGCCCGTCCCGCCTCTTCGCTGGGGATGTGCAGAGCATTTCCGTGCCAGCCTCTGCAGCCCCGAAAGCACCACTTCCTACTCTCAGACCCGAGCCCATCCCGGACTCCGCCCTGACCCACAGCTGCAGGGGCCTGGTCGCCCCGGCAGTGCACCTGCGCCAGAGCTCACCTGTGGCCTTCGCTCCGCGGCCCGGCCGAGCCTCTGACAGCCCTGACGCGCAGAGCCCGGGAGACCCCACTACCTCGAGCCGCCGCCCCGCCCCTCGCCGCCCGGCCAGCCGAAGCCAAGGTCACTCGGCTCCGGCCGCCAGCCTGGCCCCGTGCCCACCTGTCATGGCGGCGGACACGGCGCCGCCCCGCCGTCCCCGCTGTCCGCCCCTCTGGCCTCCGGCCGGCCCACCGGCTCTGATGACCGCGTCCCCGCAGGACGGGCCCTAAGCTCCGCCCCTTCCCGCTAGGCCCCGCCCGGCCGCGACGGCAGAGTCGCTGTCAGCCCTAACCCGCGATCCTAATTGAGCGCCACCCCTCTCCTCTAGGCCCCGCCCTCGATGAGTCCAGCTCCCCGCTGCAGGGACTCAAAGCCACGCCCCTCAGTCCAAACAGCGCCTCCCGGGCCCTAAGCCCCACCCCTCGCTCCACCTCTCCCCGCTCGAAGAGCCTTGAACCCCGCCTCTCACACAAGCCCCGCCAGGAGCACAGCCTGCCCAATAGCCGGTGCTCGCCTCCCTGTCCCTCGCCCTTTCTCCCCGGCCGCTCCCAGGCCCTGCCCCGCCTGTGTCCCCGCCCCACAGGGATGTGGTGGTTTTTGTAGGCTGCGGGCTAAATCAGCAGCGCAGCTCCGCCTGGGCCACTGCACTCTACCGCACCCTACCTCGGGGATAGGGACAGTGAGCCTCAGCGGTGACAGGGAAAGGTCATGCCTGGGGCAAAAGGCTGGTGGGTATTCCATAGCCCCCACCCAGACCTCAGCCAAAGTGGGCAGGGCCTGCCTGGACACCAGGGAGGGTTGGGGCTCAGCGGTGTGACCTGGGTAGGGCAACCTCCATCGAGTCCCTCATCCTTACAAGGGGACACTGGCCTGGCATTATCGTTTAAGCTGCCCGAGCCTCACTTTCCTGGACTATGAAATGAGTGGCTGCGGAAGTCTCTCTTCTCCCTTCTGCTTCGCATGTGTCATGGGCTTAGCCTTTCCAGCTCTGGTGCCCAGCACAGGAAACCCCCAGACCCACAGGACGCGAATGGGCCTGGTCTCAGTTAAGAAACGGACACCTGGGGTGAGGGAGGAGCGGGGTGCCTGCAGTTGGCAACAGTGGTCGGGTGCTTGGTTTGCCTGTATTCTCTACCTGTGCCTGCTGAATCCTCATTAGCATAGTAATTTCAGACGTTGTTGCCAACCTGGAATGGGGATTCCCTTCTGGCTCCATGTGCCCTTTACCTTTGTGGCTCAGTTCTCCGGAGCTACCGCCGCTCATCATGGGTGGGGGTATCCAGAGCATGCAGAGATTGGGTTGCAGTTGTCACATGGAAACCCTGAACTCTTGGGCTCAGTCATGGTTTTCATCATGCAACCCCCCTTGCCAAACACTGGGGTGAGGCCCAGTCAGGTTTCCCAAAGGTTGAGCAGGTTTAGAGCAAGTAGGCAGCTGCCCTCCACGCCAGTCTGTGCCAGGCAGAGGGACAGCATGCACAGGCCCCACCCCAGGGCCAGAGGTGGTGTGCGTGCCTTACGTGTGTGTGCCTGGGTGAGTTCAGGCTAGATCGACACTTCCAGAGCCCTGCACAGACACACAGTGACCTCTCACTATACTAGAAGCAGCCTGACCCCAAATATTCTGCATACATCACACTGTGTTACGGTGTCCAGCACTGACGTCTCTGAGGAATGTGTCAGTCATAACTGCAGGGACTGGCTGGGAACAGCTGGAGCTCCAGGTGCTGCCCACCTTCAGGGAATCCTACCCTAGCCTCTTCCAGGAAGCCTTCATTCTCCCTTCGCATCCATTTCTGCACTCCCAGGACTGCACTTGGCCACATGAGGATGGTGAAACTGAGCCTTGGGGCAGAGTTTCTCTCCCAAGGTCCAGCAGCCAGGATGTGGCCTCCCTATTGCAAGCTGCTGCTCCTCAGCAATGCAGTTTGTACAGGATTTGGCCCAAGGACCCCACCCACTCCAGCTCATAGGGCCTCTTAGGATGTGACTCCAGGCCTGCAGGGACAAAAGGCCTCAGCCAGGCAAAGCCCCCAGTGCCTACCCGAGGCATGCAAGCAGGTATAAACATCCCCAAGGTCCTGGTGTGGGCCCTGGGCCCTCTCTTCCCCAGAATGTGAGATGTGGAGGCGAGTGCTGTGCTGTTGTCCTGCCTTCTGGCTGGCTCCTGCTGGTTTCAGTTGTTTGCACCCTGATGGAAAGTACGCTCCTGAAGGCCAAAAGGGTGGGGGCCTGGACCCTCACTGCTCCTCGGGCTCTGTGGGCCTCACACAGGGGTCAGAGGGATCATCCTGTGCAGACTTCTAGGGCGCCAGCTGAGGTTGTCCCCCACCTCCTGGAGAGCAGTTAGAGGCTCAGTCCTTGGACATTGTCAAAGAAAAACCAGAACCAGACCAAGTAGTCATAACCTGAAAAAGACTATTCACAACCTCTGCAGTAGGGGAAAGGAAGGAGATTTCAGTATAGAACTGGGCTCATCTGTGAATGAGCCCAAAAGACAAGTGGGGATTAGGAGCCAGGGACCTGTGCAGCCTCTGCAGCCCCGAAAGCACCACTTCCTACTCTCAGACCCAAGCCCATCCCGGACTCTGCCCTGACCCACAGCTGCAGGGGCCTGGTTGCCCCGGCAGTGCACCTGCGCCCGAGCTCACCTGTGGCCTTCGCTCAGCGGCAAGATCACATGCCTCTGACAGCCCTGACGTGCAGAGCCCAGGAGACCCCACTACCTCCTCCATAAGAGCCAGCACACAGTAGGCACTTGATGAAAACACATGAATAATTCTGTTGACAACTGGGGTGAGGTATAGAAGGGCAAGAACAGACACTGTAAGACAGAGTGATGAGGCCAGGGTGACCTTCCTGAGAGGATAAAGCTAAAGACAGGGTATTTGCATGCCAGGGGCAGGGTGGTGGTGGGTACAGGAAGTCAGTGCGGCTAGAACTGACCATACCATGCAATGAGGTGATGGTATGATGAGGGGCTGGAACACGGAAGGAGCATCTTCTTCCACATTCTCTTGTGGCCAGGGGGCACCATTTATCCATTCATTGTTCACTAATTCATCCAACAAATGTCTCCTCACATGCCTCTAACCCAGAGATAGATCACAGAGGGAGCCCCCCCCACACACACATAGCTTCCTCCATTAGCGAAGGATGCAAACACACAGCTGTGTGGAGTCGCTGATAAGTGCTCTGAAGAGGGTCAGGCTGAGTAAGAGGCAGAGGATACCTGGTGAGGCTACCAGCCTCCATGATGGCCCAGCCTTAGTGTCATCTGTATGGCTAGCTGCTCCCTAACGCTTGCATTATCATTTAAGCTCTGCCTCCTGTTGTACTAGATTCTCATAGGTGATGAACCCTACTGTGAACTGTGCATGCAAGTGACCTAAGTGTGCTCTTTATGAGAATCTAATCCTGAAACCATCCCCCATCCATGTCTGAAAAATTGTCTTCCACAAAACTGATCCCTGGTGCCAAAAATGTTGGGGACCATTGCCCTTGGGGGTACTGTGCTAAGTGAAATAAATCTGTCAAAAAATGACAAATACTGTATGATTCCACTTACATGAGGCCCCTAGCATAGTCAAATTCACAGAAACAGAAAGTAGAATGTGGTGGCTGCCAGAGGTTGGGAAGTTGGAGAATAGGTTTCAGTTTGGGAAGATGGAAAAGCTCTGGGACTGGATCATGGTGATGGCCACACAAGACTTCGGAGCTTTGTGGTAAGGTTCTTTGGGGGGGGGGGGGGGGGGGGTGGGCGGCTTGAGTGGATGCCGAGCTTGAGAAGTCTGGGAGCATCCAGATCAGAGTTCTCGGGCTGCTCCACCTATGGAGCACAATCTGGGCCCAAGCTTGAAGGAACTGCCATCCTTACTTCTGTCTGTCAGGTTACCGACTCTTGAAACACATCTGCCACAGTGCAAGGAGGCACAGGCTATGCAGGATTTCAGCAGAGAGACCCAACCAGGGTCCCAGGCAACAGTGACCCTCAACTGCCAGACCTGGAAGCAAGAACATCTCCGGAAGATGTCACCCATTGCTGCCAGACTGCGATCCCATGTGAGAAACACAAGATCCACCTGGCTGAGGCTGCTGCTGTGAATTTTGGGATCCACTATATGGCAATAGAAAAATGAAAGCCAGAGGTAACCAAATTGTTGACTAAATGCACACAACATAACCACCACCCCCCAACTGGTATCCCTGTATGCAAGATATTCTGCTGAATGATGTCTCCTCTACCAGATTCTGTAACTGTGCAGCCCCTTGGTGTTGGAAAGGTGGCTTTCCAGTATGTAAGACTGACTCCTGTTTCTTTGATGCCTTTGCTTTCATACTCACTGAAATCCTGGGTCTCACCACCAAATTTGAGGCAGCTGAATCAGGCCTCAAAGGACTTGAAGCTGCAAAAAGAGGCTGACATGGTAGCCCTGGTGTTGCTCGTGGCTATCTGGTTCCCCTGGAAGAGAGACCCCCCCCCCGGTGATTTAGTGGCTGGGAGGGGTCACAGGTTCCACCTGGTCAAGGCCATCATGAGAAGTAATGTGTTTTCCTCCATGCCAGAGCATGTTGTGGCTGGTGCAAACCCTTCTGCTGAAAACGCTTCCATTGGAATGGGGGCTGCTCCACCCACCATGTGCTCTGGGGACTCCACGGTGAGCAGGAAGTAAATTTGGTGATTTGAGTCCCTGAGATTTGGAGGATTGCTTGCTTCAGCAGTATAACCTCAGTGATCCTGACAGATAACAACAGATGTTACTGTTACTGGGTCTTTTGAGGTGAGAAGTTAAGTGTGGGCAGGAGCTATGCAACCATCAGGTACGGTACAGGGAAAGTGTGCTAAGGCCTTTGGGGGTAACAATCTGAGCAGGTGCATCCAAGAAACTGCAAGAGGGGCAGGAATCTAGCTCAGTGGTTTAGCCGCCTGCCCTGCAAGCGCAAGGACCCGAGTTTGATCCCCAGCACCAAAAAGACAAAAGAAGAAACTGCAAGAAAAGCATGGTGGTAAGTGGTCCCCCTCTTGTCCCAGTACTAATATAACTGGACATCTAGAGTTTTGGGGGGAGGTGAGGCCAGCTGCCCCCTACCTTGTCCCCTGAGGCAGGGTCCCACAGCTCAAACCCTGTGGGAGGACTCAGCTCACTTGTCCTGCACTTCCCCTGTCCATGGTGCAGACTTAGGGGTCCAGCGTACTTCTCTCTTGAGCAATAGCTCTGCCCTGCCAGGCCCCTGCCTCTCTGCCCACTGTAGCCCCTCTGTAGCCATGTGGACACCCATTTCTGTAACTCGCAGTCCAAGGAGCTAGCCATTCACTCTAGTCCTCTCTACCTCTGTTCCAGCAGCTCAGGAAACAAACCCTGGTCTGCCCTTGCATCCCCAAGCCTTCACAACAGACCTCTCAGCCCCCAACCTGCCCCGTGTGGTAGGGTCTACAGCCTCTGCCATCTTGGCTCCCACAACTCCAAGTTGGGGGGGTATGAAGGGGGCTTGGTGGGGGCTGGAACTCAGAGCCTTTTGTTGCTCATGCCAGGCCCTGACCAGCATTGCTGCAGTCCCAGGAGCCGAGTGGTTTGAGTTCTGCATCCAGATCTGCCAGGCAGTGGCTGGGGAAGATGCTCCCCTGCTGGGGCCATGTCTGCACTGTCCCTCTCAGCATCCTGCTATGTGTCCCACTAGGGCCCCCAAGCAGGACAAGAAAAACCAAATGTACCCCCTGCTCTCTCAAGCCTACACTGGAAATCTACCAATGAAAAGGGCATCCCAACATGAAGGGCATCAAGACCAAGGTGTCTACAAATGCAACATCAAAGAAAGTGGAACACCGAAGTGTCCCTCAGCTGGTGATTAGTCACATCAATCATGGGATATCCATCAGACAGACTCTCTATGCAGCTTCTATCAGGTATTTGGTTGTCAGAGACACAAAAACATGACAAACATCACTTCAGTAGGCAAGAGACAGCGTGTAAAGGAAGCTGCTTCTCTTCTAGTTCCTCCCAAAGGCCCCAGTGTGGCTGCTGGGCCTCCAGGAAGGAAGCAGAGGAAAGTCAACTTTTCTCAATGGCCAGAGACAGGTCACACCCCAAACTGTGTGAGGCTGCAGGTATGTTTTTAATTGACCTAGGGCAAACACTGGGCTCAGAGTTGAGAGAGCCTGGGGCCTGGAGCTACAGAATGAGCCCTGAGCTCATCTTAAACAACCAAAAGGTGCAGCAGCAGAAGCAAACATCTAAGACCAGATCTAAAACCAGCTTTATATGAGCAAATAGCTCTGCCACAGAAGCTATTCCCTTTGGGAATGAGGGTGGGAGGATAAAAGTCAGCCCCTCTCCCTTTTGGTGACACTGGGAATTGAACCCAGGACCTTTGCACTGTTACATTGCCAGCCCTCCCTTTCAAAATTTTTTTTAGAAAGGGTCTCAGCCTCGGGACCCCACCAGAGCAGAGAGGGCTGAGCACAGAGTTGGGGAATCCCTCCCTCCACCTCACGCCCTCCACTGCAGCTGTAAACACGTTTCCCTCCTTGTCTGTTTCCCCTGCTTTCTGACCAAGGCTGCTGTTTACAAAAATCCTGCAGGATACCCCTCTGGCCCCATCCCCCATGCCTCTCTGCCCCTTTTCTGGCTTTCTTCTTTGGGTCGGGGATTTAGCTCAGTGGTTCCACCACCTACCTCACAAACGCAAGGTCCTGAGTTTGATCCCCAGCACCAAAAACAACAAAACAAAACAAAACAAAAAACCAACTCAGTAGAAAGGATCTCAAAAAGTTGCTAAGTTGCCTAGCAAGTTCAAATTTGTGAGCCTCCTGCCTCAGCCTCTTGGAGTGCTGGAATCACAGGTTTGCATCACCATACTCACCTGGGGTCCCTTTCATAAAATTGTTTAACAAGAAACTAGCTTAGAGATGATTGCAATGGTTTTAGTTTTTGGTTTGGTTTTGTTTTGTTTTGAGACGCCGGGGATAGAATCCAGGGCCACGTGATGTTTGGCAAGTGCTCTACCCCTGAGCTAAACTCCAGCCCTGTGGTTTTATTGTCTGAGGACAAGGTCTTACTCTGCTGTGCTGGCTGGTCTCAAACTTGTGGGCTCCAGCAATAGTCCCATCTCAGCCTCCTGAATAGCTGAGACTGCAGATGTGTGCTACAGCCGCCTGCTCCTGGGATGGGCTTGTGTGCCTGCTACTTCTTTGGTATTCCTTCTGCCTAGCAGTGGGGTCCATGGCCCACCCCTTATTATGGGGCCACCTGGGCTCCAATAAATAGGATGCAGCAGAAGTGAAGGCAAGTGACTTCCATGGCTGAGAGCTGAAAACTGAAACAGCCACTACCTGGTGCGCGTGTCCGACTGTCACCTTAGAAAGCAGGTGCCATGTTGGAAGGAAGCCCAGGACACACGAGGCAGTCACAGGGGAAGGGCGGAAGGGTGGATGTTCCAGCCAAAACTCCCTGAAGCCTCTGCTGACTACCAGCGGCAACTCCAGACCTGAGAGACTCACCCTTTAATATGACCCCACTGTAGCCACCAGCAGATGGCACCTGCTACAGAAGAGATGGAGTGGGGACCACCCAGCAAGATGCCTGAGAAGACGGCAGCACCAGGAGGTAATAACACATTATTAGGGTTTTGTGCTGCTATGTTTCAGGTTGTGTAGGGATGGGCAGCTGGGACAGTGATTTTTACCTTTGTAACCTTCAGTAGGAGAAAGAGCTGCTATTTCCCTCACCTGCACTTTACATATGCTAGATACAGAGCCCTGGGGAGGTCCCTGCTTCAAAACTGGGTATCCTCCCAGGAGAATACGGAGGGGGCCAGCTGAAATTGCTGAAAGGAAGTTTACTGCCGTTTTCTTATTCTAATGTGCAAAACTAGATCTGCTGAAAATGTCGCCCAGTCTCTTTAGAGGAATGCTGGTTGGAGGGAGGCTGCCGTGGCACTTAACCTTAGCAGCTGGTTCAAGTGAGTCATTGAAGTTACTACAGCCTGGCTCCTTCTGGACAGAGTGTTCCCTGCAGGGCCCTGAAAGGCTCCTGCACCTGAAGGCTGATTTCACTGGCCAATTCCAGGCTAGACACATGGAGTTGCTGGCGACCGGCTAGGAAGGTGACCCTGGTAGGTTTGCTGCAAGCCAAGTGGGTCATTCCTGGGGTGGGAGTGGAGATGGGCAGGGTCTTTTCTGGTTCACTATGTGGACGACCACACAAGTGCATGGGGAGCTGGAAGGGTCCCTGGGACTCAGCACGCTGGGTCTTGGAGTCCAGGGATCTTTGTCCATGCCAGGGGTCGTGCCAGCCAGCTCTCTGATGCCTTCACTGAGGTCTCTGTGGGGACAAGAGGCATGAGACATGTGGGAGGATGGGGATGGGGTCCAGCCACCCAGGGACCCAGGCCCAGGCCATCAGCGGACTCGGGCCAGGTGCTACCCCAAGGGTTGAGGGCATTGTTTCCTCTTGCCAAGGAGATACGTGGAGGCTCTGCTCCCCCACCCCAGGCCTGCCAGTACTCACTGAGCTCTTGCCTGGCCTTGGGCTCAGGAAACCACAATGGCACCAGGACACGGGCACTACTTACATCTCACCTGACAGGCAAGGAAACTGAGCCATATAGAGGTAAGGAGCCCACCATGCTGGGAGCAAGTGTTTGCTGCCTTGGGAGCCTCCGTGGGACCCACAGCAGCATCGAGCCAGGCGCAGCAGGTACAGGATGAGCCTGGAGCACCTTGTGCAAAGCAGGAGTACTTCAGGGGTGACAGGGTCATAGGAGAATGACATGCGCAGCCTGGCAGGGCCCCTGCTGCAAAAGACAATCAGACCCCCAGACAGAGTATGAAGAAGGGGAGGTTGGAGGGGACCTCTAAGGATGGGAGGCAGGATAGGACATCCAGGACATGATTTTCTCCACTTTTGTATATCTGTGAATTCTCCCCAAATTAAAGTTTTACAGAATCTATGAGTTCATGGTGACACCAAAGTCACAAAACAAAATGGAATCAAAGGCCTGGAGGTGTGGTTCAGAGGTAGAGTGCTGTCCTAACATGTGCAAGGCTCTGGGTTCTATCCCAAGCTCTGAATGCAAAAGGAAACAAAAACCACTGCAACAACACAAAAATCAATGAAATAAAAGCTAACAAAGAAAAAGCTCATCAAGGAAGGCATAGCTGAATCACAATACAATTAACAAGTGACCCTGCAATAAGCCCTAAGATCACAGCCCCTTCTTCATGCCTCAGTGGTGGAGGGATCTGGGGGCCTTGTCTCAGACCAGACACCCTAGCCCATATCTGTGTCCTGCACATGCAGCTCATGCACCAGAAATACACACCTTAGCTCGGTCTCATGGAAACACGACAGACTCAAGTAGGGGTCTCTGTACACCAGACAGAGGCCAGGACGCAAAGCACAAAATCCCATTCCAGTTTAAGGACCCAGAGACCTGGTGGCTGAGTGCTGCATGTGACTCTGGACCAAAGTGTGGACATCTTTGACAGATATGCTCTTCTCTACAGGCCATGCATCATCAGGGCCAGAAAAGGAGCATTCTTACATTGGTTCAGGAAAAAAATTGTATGTGTACCTTCAGAGAGAAAGAGACAGAAAGTGGAGAGAGCCAGAGACTGAGATGGGGAGGGAGGAGGACCCCTCACCCTGGAGCCAGGGGAGACCCTGTACTGGCAGGCCTTGGCATCCCTACAGTCTGGACAAGGTTCTAGAAGCACTGCAGGCCTCATGTTTTCTAGTCAGGGGTAGAGGCCCCAGGAGGGCAGGTGCATGGGCCTCTCAGCAGGTGGCAGATACTCCAGGACTAGCCTATCATTCCAGTGTCCCTGCTCCTGCATCCCTAGCCCTCCCCAAGCACAGAGACCCTGGAGACCTACATAGCAAAGCTGTGGTTGTCATGCACATGGCTGGGCCAGCCTCCAGGCTTGCCGCCACCGCTACTGCTGCTGTTGTTGTAGTTCTGGCCCTTGAGGCCAAGGTATGCAGCCTGCACCGTCTCCAGGTCCTCGCCTCTCAACTGGTACCACATCTGGGCTGTCCTGAAGGAGAGAGTTCAGGAGGAAGGACACTGAGCAGGGACCCACATCCCTGAGGGTGGCACAGGTGCAGAAACAGCATCCACACAAAGCCAGGGCAGGTTCTCAGTGTGAGCAGCTTGACAAGGCAGCCTCTGCAAGAGCCAGATGGTGGGTATTTTAGGGGCTACAGGGCACAACTAAACTCTGCCATCCAAAAGCAGCCAAAAACAGTAGGTGATGAGTGTGGCTGTGTTCCAGTAACAGCTACTTACAAAGCCAGGCGGTAGAAAGTTCTAGTTACAGACGGCACTGATGGCTGTACAACAAGGCCAAGGCAATTAGTGCCTTTGAGCTGAACACTTAAAGATGACAAAAACAGTGAATTTTATGTTTTGTAGATTTTACCGCAATAAGAAAAGAGTAAGTTACTGTAGGGGGAAGAACCCCAGTGGGCCATACTTCACCTGTGGGTTCACTCACCCTCAGTCCAGGGCAGGATGAGGCCCTCTCAAGGTGGGGGTGTTACGACCGCTCTGGATGCCACTAACACAGCAGGGTATGAACCACATGTGAACAGGTTTAAGAAAAAGACAAGCTGGGCATGATGGTACACGCTTATAATCCCAGCACTTGGGGTCTGAGGAACAAGGATCACAAGCTTGAGTCCTACCTGGGCAACTTAGTGAGATCTTGTCTCAAAAATAGAAAAATTCGTGGCCAGGGATTTAGCTCAGTGGTTCCACCGCCTGCCTCGCAAGCGCAAGGTCCTGAGTTTGATCCCTGGTACCAAAAAAACATATATACAAATTAAATTTTTAAAAAGGGCTGAGGATGGAGCTCAGTGGGAAGGTCCTGGGTTTAATTCCCAGTACTGGGAAAAAAAAGAAAAAAAAAGAAGACTAAGATGGCTCCCTGTGTGCCCACAACCTAGCTAAGAACTGCAGAGCCCCAGGTGCCCGAACAGCTGTCATATTCCATGCCCACCACTCTAAGGACTGGGGCAGCTTTGCATGAGGCCCCTTACCAACCACGGCAGCTTATGGGGCCCCTGGACCCTGCCCCAGGGTGGCAGTGGCAGGTGTGGGTGGCCCTGTGGAAAGGTCCCAGGGCCCAGGCTGCTCCCAGGAGGACCCTGAAGCCATCAGGCCACGCACCTGCTGGAGCGCCGATGCTCACTCTTCTTCACACACTTGAGGAGGCAGCAGGTGAGGAAGGCCATGGACATGAGCAGGATGATGGCGCAGCTCACGATGGAGGCAATCACTGCCACCTTGAAGCCAAAGGTCTCATGGGGTGGCACAGCTGTGAGGGAGACAACCACCAGGTCCTGGTGTGGCTCACTCGGACCGGCGAGGCCCAGGGATGAGAAAGATGGGGCACAGGGGCTGATGGGGCCTGGCTGGCCCTCAGTGGGCCTTGTGCTGGGGGAGGCAGTAGGCACTGGTAGTGAGGCCAAAGACTATGCAAACGGTGTTTGCGAAGAGGGCTCTCAAGGAAGACTTTCCCCAAGAAGAGGGCATTTGGGCAAAGTCTTACAGAGTACATAGATTTGAGTAGCAAATTAGAGAAGTTCTGACAGAAAACTTAGATCCTACCTAACGTAGTCCTTTCTACAGAGCAGAAGTGGGGCTGTGGAGCAGAGGACAGCAGATACAGCCTTAGTGAGGATTTTCCCAGCCTATTGCTGCAGTTTTCACAATGCTCCAAGCAGGCAAAACCCTTCGGAGGCCTTCTCAGGCCACTTTTCAAGGAGTAAAAACAAGGAAAATGCTCATCACTGGGGTCAAAGGACATTTGTATTTATCAGTCTTGTGACCTCAATTAGTCACTAAGAACCAGTCCTGTCAGATACTAAGAGATGTTACAGCTCATATCCCCGCACCCCATTTTCCCTGCTCCCTAGCTGGATGCTGGCCACCTAGAATGAAGACTCCGTCTCCTCGTGGTGACATGACCATGCTCCAGCCAATGGTAGGCAAGGGGTAGTGATGTGGGACAATGTCTAAAGACCTTCCCTCAGATGGTGGGGTGTGCCCTTTGCCCTTAGAGGCCCCTCACCCCCAGACCCCTCCCTGGAACACAGTAGCCACTCCCTAGGGTCCCAAGGATGAAGTCACACCCAACAGAGCCTCTGCAGGCCCCAGGCCCCATGTGGTGCAGCATGCTCCCAGCTAGCTACCTAACCTGAGGGGGAAGCACCATCTTGGTTAATCCTGTTGTTTTGGGTTTTCTGCAGCTTGGAACACAATTCTAACAGATACCCTCATTCTCAGATACACTTGGCACGTAAGTATGTTAAAGGCAGCATGGGGGTACATGCCTGTCATCCCAGCACTTTGGGAGTGAGTCAAGAGGATCATAAGTTCAAGCCCGGTTTGGGTAACTTACCAAGACCCTGTATCAAAATAAAAAGGGGTGGGGATATAGTTCAGTGTGAAGGCCTTGGGCTCAGTCCCCAGTCCTACATGCATGAATGAATGAATAAAAATAAATAAGCAAGCAACCAGAAAACTAGAAAACAACTCTTCCCCAAGAATAGGACCTCCTGGACTGGGCACATCTAGCTCTCTGTGTTCCTAGTACCTGGACTTCTTGGTACATGGACTGACCTATCAGGGATTGCCACAAGCATGCAGGTATGAAAGAATGAACGAACAAACTCAGTTTACTCTTAGCAGATGACCAAGTGCCAGCTCAGCTTGCACCACCTCTGTAGACCTTCGAAGCCAGGGGCCACAGTGGAGCAGAGCAGGACTTAAGCCAGCAGCTGAGACTGGGTCCCCTCTGCAGACATGGAGCTCTGAGGGCTGCTGGCCTCAGCCTAGCAACAAGCCCGCTGGGAGCAGGACCTGAACACGGGCCCAGGCTGTGACTGGTCACCCACTGCCATCTGTGTGACTGGCTGGGGCAGCTCGGGAGGGAGGGCCCTTACCCTTGCATACAGGGGTTCCTGAAGACCAGTTGGCAATGATCCCCCTCCAGGCACAGGTGAGCAGGCCAGACCCCACCATCTGGTGGCCGGAGGGGCAGTGGAACATGAGCACAGTCCCCACAGCAGTGCCATCGCCACGGAGGACTTGCAGGGTGCCCCGCGGGGGGGGCTGCAGCTGAGCACAGGTGCCTGGGAAGAGAGACAGGGTGAGCTGTGAGGGCAGCGCTCGGGTGGGTGGCACCTGAAGGGAGGTGCTGGCACCACTGGGGGCTGCTGCCCATGGGGAGTGGGCCTGACACCCACCAGGGGCTGTGGGAGGCTCTGGGCAGGGTCACATGGGGTCATCCACATGCTGGGACAAAGCAGAGCTGGACCCTACGTTAAGTAAAATCTAGATGTTTTGAGGATTATAGTATGAAAGAAGAAACAAATGTTAGAAAACTAAACAGAGGCAAATATACAATTATTACCTAAGCAGAGTGCCAAAGGCAGAAATCAAGAAAAAAAGAGGGTGAGATTAACAGATTTGACTGCATAAAAAGCATAAGGGAGGCACTTTTGTTCCTCCATAATCAATTAAAAACAAACATCAACTCAGAAGAAAAAAAATTAGGAAAAGATATTTTGAAAACAAGAAAGATTCAATATCCTTAATTTATAGAGGCTGAAAAGAGCTGAACAATTTTTTAAATGAACTAATGTGTGAATAAGCAATTTATAAGAGTTAGCAATGTCCAACAGTCAGGAAAACATGCTTAACCAAACAAAAGTCAAAGAAACTCAAATTCAAATGAGAGCTAATCTTTTCCTCATCACTGTGGCAAAGGTTAAAAGAAGAAAGAAGGCTGAGGGTATAGCTCAGTGGCAGAAATACTTGGTAACATCCACAAGGCCCCAGGTTCCAGCCTCAGCACTGCAAAAGAATAAACAAACAAATGAAAAAACAATAACATGCAAGTCAGCAAGGGTCAAGGAGGGACTACTCAGATTGGGGTTAGATCCCAACCTTTCTGGATGAAGTCAGGCAAATATAGGAAGGGCCACATGCTGGACTTGCCCAGGGGAACTTAGCCAAAGGCATTCAGGACCTGCTGCCAAGGCTTCTGTATCAGGAAGTTCCCCTAGAGCCATGAAAAACAGCAAAAAGTTAAACTACCCTCATCTCCAGCAGAAGGCAATGATTTACTTATCAGGGGACAAACAACAAATGACAACTAAATGCTACCAAGTGGTTACAATGATGTCATCCTTCAGTAAGGACAGAGAAACTCAGGGGTGGTGAGGAGCACCTGAAGTCCCAGCTACTCAGGGGGCTGAGGCAGGAGAATCTATATTAGAGCCCAGCTGGAAAAACACAAGACCCCCTTTCAAAACAAAAAAAAAATGAACACAGATTCAGGAGCAATCAGAAACTTTATAAAATAGTAACAATGACAAGAGTTGGCACTTTTTTTGCACTGGATTGAACTCAGGTCCTTGCGCTTGCGAGGCTAGTGGTGGAACCACTGAGCTAAATCCCCGGCCCTAAGAGTTGGCACTTATAAGGGGCTGGGTATGCTGGACATGTTTTACCTGTGCTAACTCGTCGATCAGAACAGAAGTCTTCCCAGAGCTGAGCCATCCTTGTCCTCATTTGACAAAGTAGCAAACTGGAGGTGGAGGAGGGAGGTCACACCCTGAGGTCTTACAGCTCTAAATTGCAGGGCAGATTCAGAGCCAGGCAAGGAGACTCCAGTCCAACTTCACACACATATACACTGAGACAAACGTGGCATGTGCCCTGCACATGTTATCTGGCTTCTGCTGCTCAGCACCATGCACCTGAGAACCATTGCATCATCCCAGGACCAGTCACTGCTTGCTTCTACCGTAGTGAGTAGTGCAGATGAGCCTCAGGCTTTACCGTGCACAGTAGATGGCATAGGAGTTTCTGCATTCAAGAATGCTCACGGGGCCAGGGATTTAGCTCAGTGGTTCTGTCACCTGCTTTGCAAGCTCAAGGTCCTAAGTTCGATCCCCGGTACCAAAAAAAAAGAATGCTCAGTAAAATTGTTCAGGATGTTCTCACCCAGGACTCCTGGTGCCCAAGTGCAAGGGGCTCTCTTTTCTAATTTTCTGTTATGAGTTTGGAGCACTGACTGAGTAACACTAGCATATCCTCATCCCCAGGGTTACAGCAGTCTTTTCTGAAAAGGACACTGGAGCGACTCTGGGCCTGCCCGCCTCCACACAGACACCCACAGTGGGGTGGGGTCAGGCCATGCAGAGGCCAATGAGCCTTATTCCTCCACACTGATTTGCTGTGACCTTTGTCTGTCCTTTGCTCAATGTCCCTTGGATCCCTGAGCCCGACATGACCCAGCCAAGGTCCTGAACACCCAGCCTCATCATGAGGCCGCCACACTGACTTTTTTCTTTGGTACCGGGGATTGAGCTCAGGTCCTTGCACTTTCGAGGCAGGAAGTGGAACCACTGAGCTAAATCCCTGGCCCTCTGACCTTATTTTTCACCAGTGGGTTCTCCATCCTTCAGTTGCTTATGCTGGAAGCTTTAATGCCTACCTGTACTCCTTTTCTCAATTCACAACTAATTCACCTATCAATTGCACTCTGATTTCATATGTCTACCCAAGTCGCCTGTAGTAGGCTGAACAGTGTCCCCCAAATTTATTCATGTCCACCTGGCAGGGGCCATGTGGGCTGGGTATGTGCCCAGACAGGATCTCCATCCGTGGGACATGCTTCCCACGCTTTATTCCACATCTGAATCATCAGCATGTCCAGAGGGGGAACTCAGGCTCAGGGAAGCCAAGCTGTCCTTTGCCCAAGCCATGCTCTTCTTGAGACCAGGGTAGTAATGGGGTACCAGCAGAGCCAGCCCAGGCCTGCAATCTGCTGTCTGGGAAGTGTTGGAAGCAGAAACTACCTGAGCTCCCTTCCATGGCAGTGACAGTGTAGGATGACTATTGGCTCCCGTGGGCTGGGTCACACTGACTACTTCCCAGCAGTGTCCAGAGGCCTCCTTGCCCAGAGCTTGGGCCCCAACTGGAACATGGTGGGCTTAAGAAGCTGAGAGCCAAGGGAGAGCATGTGTAGCCTGGAGCAGCCCTCAGGAGAGGCTGGGGTAGACCCCTGTATGTTGAGGTCATGCTGCTTCTACCCTGAGCACTCCAACCGAGGCATGAGGCGGGGACTGACTCAAGATCAGCAAAAATACTGGGTGCTGTACTATGTAACAGTCCTAGAGTCCCTCCTTACAGATGGGGAAACAGGCAGAACAAGGCCGAATGACATCCCAGGGTCAGTGGGCAGGAAGGTGGCAGGGATGGAATTAGGACCCAGCACACTGAGGAGCCCTACTCCATGGCCAAGCCCAGGGGAAGAAATTGGCCTATCCCTGCTTGTCCTGGGGAGCCTCAAGCCTCATTCCCATCCCTGGCCATGGCTCCCACCAGAAAATCCTTCTCCCCACCCAAGAGTTGCAGGTGGGGACAAGACTGCCATAGAAAACTATACTTCTCAGCCTGCCCTGCAGCTGTGAGCAGCCATGTGACTGTGCTTGGCCAATGGGATGTGAGCACAAGTAGTCATGACCTCTCCTGGGCTGGGGCGCTGGTAGACGTGTAAAAAGGATGACTAACCTCTTAGATCCTAACAAGAGTTGGAAATGAACTCCAGCTAGGGTTCACCCATCATGTTCATAGATTTCCTTTGTAAGGAGACTGACTCAAACCTGAAACAAAGCTTGAGGTCCATTTCAGCCCAGTACCCTACTTAGGGCTTAAGACCCTACCTGGCCCACTCAGGTCTCTGAATTGACAATAATAATAAAGCTGGGGTAATGCCCAGCCCATACTATGTGCAGAGTCCCATGTAGAGTGCTTTGGTAGCTGTAGAAATGAGCACACAGACTCCAGCCTGTAAGGCTTTGAGTCTCCTATGGCTGCAAAAGTGGAGCTCAGGAGAAAGAAGCCTCCTACCCCTCACAGCACAGCTGTCGTCCCCACCTCAGCCTGGTGCAAGGTAAAACACCAAGCCACTTGGAAGGTGCCTGGTACACCAGGGCAGGAGGGTGGGGCTCTTTGGAAATAAGAAATGCCACACCATTTGCATCCCCAGACTCCAAGGCTCAAGGACACTGAGGCTACACAGCCAGTCAGTAGCACACACTCATCTTGCCTGCCCCTTCAGTATCAGTATCTTCAGTATCAGCCAGCACCAATCTGTAAGTTCCTAGTTCATTATCAGCATTACTATCCACAACAGCAGTGCATGGCTGCATGAAATACTCTGTTTAAAAAGTGCCTCTCACTCTTTGTTTGACATAGCACTCATAACCATCCCAAGGACAGCAGGGAAGAAACCACGATTACTACCAGCAAGGCTCAGAGAGGCAGGCTGGTCTGCCCAATATCCACTGACAGGCTGGAGATGGTGAGACATGGGTTCATGATAGCTAACTTAAATGCAAAATAAGAAGTGGGAAGTCAACTTGTTACATGTAACATAGGGTTAGTATCTTTTCTAGACAAACAGCACACACAATAATAAGACAGTGACAAAAAAAAATCATGAACCCCCTCCCCCCCAAAAAAGAAGAAAATAAACTAGGGGAAAGGAGGAAATGGCTCAAAAAACAAAAAGCAGGTCAATTAGGTAAGAAAAGGAAATGAAAAGAAACCAGATCAAGAAGATCTCCATTAGCTGACATGATTTTAAACACAGAAAATCCTCAGAAATCCCCTAAAAACTACTGGCACTAACAAATTGAACAACATTGTCAGATACAAGTTCAACACACAAAGACCAGTTGTGTCTGTGTAGTAGTAATGAGCAAACTGAAAATGAAATTAAGAAAACAATTTCATTTACAATAGGATCAAGACAAATAAATTATATAGGAATAAATTTAACAAAAGAAGTGTAAAACACTTACTCTGAAAATTACAACACATTGTTGAAAGAAATTAAAGAAGACCTAAATGGAAAAACATCCCAAGCTGATGGACCAGAAGACTTACTATTTAAAATGGCAGTACAATGCTACTTTGGTTCATGAATTTAATTCTTTCCATGATTCTGGTCACATACAAAATTAATTGGAAACCAAATCAAATTTCCTCATAAGGTCAGCATTGAACCTAAGCATTGGATTTGATTTAGTTTGCAACCAATTCAGTATCTTTCAAA